ATACTGGAGAAGACTTTTGAGAGTCTCTTGGATAGCAAGGAGATTGAATCAGTCAATACTTAAAGAAATTAATTTAGGTTATTCCCTGGAAGGTCAAGTTACTGAAGCTGAAGTTTAAATGCTTTTGGCATATGATGAGAAGACAGAATGCATTGGAAAAGACCTTGATTTTGGGAAAGATTGAAGGCAAAAGGAAAAGGGGAAAGCAGAGGATGCGATGGCTAAGTAGTATCATGAAAACAATGAACATGAACTCGGACAGATTCCTAGAGATAGTGGAGTATAGAAAGTCCTGGAGTGCTATGGTCTGTGGGCTCATGAAGAGTTAGGCACCACAGAGCAACAACAACAATAGAACTATTCATGAGGTGAACTCTAAAAATGCAAAAACACAATTGGAAAATAATGAGATCAGATGATTAGAATTTTTGAGATAGTGGCAAAGAATACAACCTTTGTAAAAAAAAAAAAGTGATAATAACTGCAACTGAGAAACAATAACAGTTTCTAAGCTATGTAATTTATGGGCCAGAATTCAACAGGTAAATATTTGCTCTCTCATCCAGCATTGCTGAAATGTTTTAGGTCTCCACTAGTTCCAAGTGATAAGTGATTGTGCCTGCAGGTACAATCAGTGGCGAACAAGGGTATATATTTGTGTCTCTTGTGTGTCTACCTATCTATACATGATTTGTTTTCTCATCTTTTATTTTTTTTGCTATGGTTAGATAAATACAAAATTATATAAGTTGATTCACTAAACAATGTAGTTAATCATGGGATATAATAGTCTTGAGGGATGTTCAGAAGGCTAAGAGTATGGCTAGTACCTGGGAGATGTGAGAGAGGAAGAGTAGTGGTAGAAGTAGTATAGAGAATGGTGGTAACCAGAGAATAATAGACAGAATGCAGAGCTTTTTAAAAAAATATATATTTGTTTTAATTTTTGAGTGTTATCCTCTTGAATGAGAAAGTCTTGAACTGAGTAGGTATAAAAAGGGAATGTCATGAGGAATGGCTGGAAGTTGGTGAGGGCTGGGGAGAGAAGGAGAGCATATAAGCATATACACAACACACTGCTGTCTCATCCCAAGCATGTTATGATCACTGAGTAAAGAAGTAACTTGTGAAGGAGATTTTCTTTGAAGAGCTCCCATTTGTGGGACTCTTGTGGATTTATAGTTACAAGGCTGGCTGCTTGTTTTGGGATGCCAGGTCTTATTTTTTCCCATTTATTAATAAAGCTTTCTTCAACAGTATTATAAACTACATGCTTGCAGGCATATATAAAGAGGCACCCTCAATATCATTATGCAGCACTTATCCAGGTTTCCTGGGTGAGGGCATAGCACAATAGAAATAAGAAAGTCTCCTAAAGCATAATGGGTCCTTCACATCTTTGAAACAGAGTACATATGGATTTATGTCTTCAATCTTCTATAGTTGGAAAAGCAATGGGTTTCAGAGTCAAAAACATAGACTGGAGTCCATTATACTTCTTACTAGCTGAGTGATATTGGACAAATCACTTAACTGTTCAGAGCAGGGGTTCTTAACATGGGATCTATGAACTTATTTTTAAAAAGCATTTGATTAACTATTTCAATATATTGGTTTCTTTGGTAATCCTATAGGTTTTTAATTTTATGCATTTAAAAACATTATTCTGACAAAGGGGTCATAGGCAACACATTGCCAAAGGTATCTGGGACAAAAAAAATGGTTAAGTCTTTGGCATAGAGCTTCAGTTTTCTCATCCATAAATACAGACAATTGTTATCTTATATCATGGGATTGTTTAGCAAAGAGAGTTAGAAAACTTGCCAATGTGTACCTTTATTCCATGAAATAGACTTGGACTTAAGAGTAACAAACACACAAAATTGGAAATGGTAAATATGCATGTGCATCCCTGTAGACTATTTCCTGACTGAGGAAAAAAGAAACCAAAGAAAACAAAAAAGCTTAGAAGGTTGAAGAGGTGGTATCCTGAGTATATTTTTGTTTCCTAAGGGCAAAATGTTGGCAGAAATAAATGTTTCTATTGTTTTAATTTCAAAAGATGTTGATGGAGTCCTGAAGAGAAACCATGAAAAAGAAATGGTGGTGGCAGAGTTGGACTGGGACTCTGCTAAGGTTAATAAGTTGGGGTGGGAGGAAGAATTGATGCAATCATTCCTCTGATGTACTTGCACATAAGAGAGATAGAGTCTTGGCTGACCTTTCCAGCCTCTGAAAATATTGGAGTGTTTGTGAACTGATTTCACAGTTCTTTCCATCTGCTTAATATGTTTAAATGTTAATTATTTTCATGGTCTCAGAGAAGAGACATTAGCCCTGGGATAAGGAGAGTTGCCCTGGAATAAAAGATTCAATTGCCATTCCTTTTAACCAAGGAAGCTTTGGTGTAAAGGACTCTCAAAGTAAGATTGTTTTTACAAAGCTCTATTCTCCCTTAAGTATTTCCTTTTTCAAGCATGGGGCTTCCTATGGAATCAATAGTTCACTCGATACTGAGAGGTTGTGTGCCAGCCAAACAAACTACCTATGAGTTGAAATGCTTTTTCTCTTTAATAAATATCTTGTCACTTCCTTCATCCTAGATGGTGGGAATTTACTAGAACCAGCCCTTCACTGTGTACTCAAGCAAAGTCAATAGGAATTTTGTGTGTGGAACCAACTGCAATGGTATAGGAAATATTTCTTTTTTCTTTTCTTCCCTAAACTTGGACTTGCTTATGCAATTTTTTTTTCTCTTTATCAAGAAGTCCTTCAAATTAAAAAAAAAATAGGACATTTTCTTGGAGATTCTTGGGTTCAGGAGATGATTAAAACCAAACTATTCCATTGAGAAATAAGGGACCAGATTCTTATACTGCGTGACTTTAAAAAAAAAATCTTGAATAACTTTCTGGCAATTTGCCCATTGTGTTACCCATAATGAGAATCTGGCCCAGGAGGTGATTTTAACCCCATTTTTCTTAATTTCTTGGCAAGAAAAAACTTTCTAGTTATTTAACAATTCTGATTCATTTCCAAATAAAGCCTCATGATCTGTGCCATCCCAAGAAATTATATAGTCAATTTCATTCTAAGTGTCACTAATAAAGAGTCTCTTCTAATGATAGAAGATATTAATGTGGGTTGAATCTGACAAGAGATATACTTAAGAAGCATCTGAATGAGTCATTTAGACAATGGGCTAGTTTGGGAGTTAAGATGTATTTATCTGTGTGAATGATTAATGGCTAAGGGAAAAAAATGGTTCATTTTCTTTGTGTTAATGGAGAGCACATTTCCTTGTTGATGCCTTGGTTGTCATTCAAAGAAATGAAAACTAAAATAATAAAAAATGTTAGAATTTGACAGTCCTTTCTCCATATACATATGGAGATACTTCATAGTTAAAATAGGTTTGAATGAGGGTTGGAAGGGGGAGCACAACTGTATAGTCTGCTCTTGTGATGTTTTCATAGATTAGTAGAGTTATGAGGAACCTCACAGTTCAACTTGCTTCCTGACATAGGAATTCCTTCTTCTACAATACTCCTGGCAAGTGGTCATGCAACCTCCACTCAAATTTCTCCATTAATAAGAAACATGCTATCTCATTAGGCAGCCCATTTCATTTTAAATTATTGGAAAATCCTTCCCCATATTGAGAGAATACTCTTCTTCCCTCTACCTTTTACCCATTGGTTCTAGATTTTTTTTTTCCCTACCAATAGCCACACATAGGCTATTCCTCATTCTACCTGACAGACCTTCAAAACATAAGACAGTTGTCATTCATGTTTTCCCTAAATCTACTTGTCTAAATTAGCTAAACATCTCTAGTTCCAATCATTTTCTCACACGACAGGCTTCAAGGCCCCACACAATCTTGTTTGCCTTCCATTTGATATGATTTTAGGAATACTTTTGAAACTTACTGAATGACTTTGGGAAAATCACTCGATCTCTTAAGACAGTTTCTTCACCTTTAAAATATGATAGTTGGATTAGCTAATAGGTAGCATTTATATAGAATTTTAAGGTTTGAAAATTGCTTCATGAATATTATCTCTTTTTGTCCTTATAACTCTGAGAGGTGCTATTATTCCCAGTTTACAGAATGACCTTTGAAGTTCCTCCAACTCAATTTTAATGGTCCTATGAAATTCTTTACAACACTTAAAATAAGGAAACTTGAAAACTGTTATTTATATACACAGTGAGACTTTACAAATAGCAGTAGCATGATTTAATATATAGAATAGCTATTTAAAAGTGCTGCCTAGTTACACAGATACTTGCTTTTAAAATGTTTTTGTGTCTAATCACAAAAGCTTAGGCATAGTACATTTCTTATCTAGATATTTATTTAAACCTGTTGCCATAGTACCTAGGCTTTCTGAAGTCCCATTTTTAGCAATAAACAAGAGAAACAGACAGACTTCTCCAGGTAGCTGTGGTCTATGTGGAAGTATGCAGAATGTCATGCCCCACCGTGCATGTAGCCAGTAGGTGCTAGGGATAGGACTAGGGCAGAGGAGGTGTGATGGAAGAAAAGAACAGGTATATTCAGAAAAGCCAGGTTAGGTCAGGTAGGAGAATGGCTGTGAAGCATTGAGACTCAAGGATATAAAGCATTTCTAATCAGAGAATTCAAATCCAATGATGTCTGTAAGAAATTGGTCCCAAAACATGGAGTGCCAGATAGCTAATACTTTGTCCATTAGCAGGGAGCTAAACACTTAAGTGTTTGTATTAGTTTTCATACTTCTATCCCAGCTAGTATGGATCAACTCTTAACTATCATTTTCCCTCACACCCTGCTGGAAACAGGCCAGAACCTTGAGTTGGGAAGAGTAGTACCCACCCCCAAACTACCATATCTGCTTCCAGTCCAGACCTCGGCCATTACTGAGGGGAGAAATACTTTCCTCATCACTACCAGTGACAACTACTGACCAGCTGCCACCAACAGTCAGACACAGGAGCCATATAAGTGACATCAC